GTCCACGGGGTCTCAAAGAGTCAGACACGACAGAGTGACACTTTCACTTTACTTTGATCCCTCATAACGGGGCTACAGTCCATGGGATCACAAAGAGTCGGACAAGACTGAGCAACTAACGCACTCATAACAAAGCTCTGTGGAGAGATAGATACAGATACAGATGCGTGTGTGCTTCTGATGCTCTGAAGAACTGACTCACCCAGTGTGGCTACTTAGAATGACCTTGTGTTCTGCAGTTTTGCGAACCTTACCCTTCATCAATCTCCATCACCATATCAATGAATCTTGGCGGATGAGAAACTCTAATCTCTTGTCTGAAGGGGTGGGGGGAGTGGGGGGGGCAGGCAAAGAACAGGACCGGCGACAGCTAATTGTGATGGCCCCGTCTGTGCCCGGGGGGCCCCCCGGGATTAGCACCATCAGCAGGTGGTTGGGGAGGGCCATCTGAACCGGAAGAATCTTCTCCCTCACCCTCGCCCCCTGCGCCCCTATTCTGTTGGGGATCATTACAGATTTTTTAACTCTAACTGTGGAAACGAATGCAGCTGCTCTTTGTAATTGTTTGTGAAACTGAGTTAAAGGGAGGTTGCTGCGACGCCGCAGGTGCAATCATTAGCCGCGGCGATGCTGTGTAATTGACCTAATTTCCATGTGAATGTCCGTGGCTTACGCGGCGCCCGGAGAGCTCCGCCATGATCTCTACACGTACAGTCAATCCAATTAGACAAAGGTTCCCACACTTCGGGAGGGACGGGGACAAACCGGGAGCCTAGGCCTCTCGCAAGGTCTCTAGTTAAACGTCTCAAGATAAACAACGGCGGCCTAATTAATAGCATGGCAGGGCCGGAGGGACACGCCAAGGAGCTACTTGTGCGTCTGGAGCCCGGTCCCGGGGAGCCGCGGAACAGAATCCGCCTTTGTCCGCACTTTCCGTGGCTTGGAGATGCTCGCGGATGGGGAAGGGAGGTCTGCTGAGTAGCCCCCACCCTCTCTCTCATCACCAACTCCAGTTGCCCAAGAAGATCCCAAAAGGCTAGATGGCCTTATTTTGGTTAATTTTAGGCCCTTTATGTTCTTGGAACAGTTAGAGAAAAAAAACAAAACAAAACAAAAAAATCATGGTTCTCAAATAAAGCTGATGGGGTGGGCGAGGTTTTCCACAATATTTTCTCCAAGCTGAGGCTAGAGGGCGCCGTCGAGGGATGTTTTCCCTGGGTGTCCCGGATTCACTGATTTCCTTTTCTTCTCAACCTCTGTTAAGTCTCCCAGGGGACATCTTGTTGTAAACGTTTCGTCATAACACGTGTGCTATGCATGTCCATACTTTCTCAAGTCTGCAGTGAGCTCCTTGAAGGCAGACAGTGTATCTTAGAATTCCGTTATGTCCCCAGAGATGGCTAGCCCCATGCTGGCCGCTTCAGGGGAGCCCAGTAGACACTTGCGGTAACTGACTAGGGCTTCCCAGGTGGTGCTAGTGGTAAAGAACCTACCTGCTAATGCAGGAGATGGAAGATGTGCGGGTTCGATCCCTGGATCGGGAAGATCCCCTGGAGAAGGAAATGGCAACCCACCCCAGTATTCTTGCCTGGGAAATTCCAAGGACAGAGGAGCCTGGTGGGCTACAGTCCATGGGGTCACACAGAGTCTGCATGATTGAAGGGATTTAGCACACAGCAAACACGGCTAGATGAAAAGGATCACTGTCAAACAATGGCAAGAATCGACACAGGCTTTGTATATCAGTCTCTACACAGAACACATCAGTGACTGAATCTCAAAAAACGCAGATTAGAAATAAAGGAAGTTAGGAAAAAGTAAAAAGTTAGGTAATAAACCACAGCCCCTGAAAGAATGAAACCACGTGGTATTATTGTGCTAACCATTAGACCTGGCTACTGAAATTGTAATATGTGGACTGACTGCATCCGTATCACCTGCAGTTTGCCAGAAATCCAGAACCTCAGGCCCCACCGCAGGTCTGCTGAATGAAGCCAACATTTCAGGTGCTTCTTACGCATGTGTGGGTTTGAATGTATAGCAGGTCTCAGCTACTGTCCGCTCAGCGCTGAGTGTCTCGTGAGAGTGCAGAGCTGTCCTGGGCGCCCCCAGCTCTTGCTCATCCTTTTCCTTTCTCCGTCTTCCGCCGCCACTCTCTAGATTTTTTTATTTAAACAGGACACCGTGTCTCAGAGTAACCGGTTTGGTTTCCCCCCATTCTCTCTCCCCATGACTTTCCTGTGTCTATACCCTCTTCAACCCACTCCAGTACTCTTGCCTGGAGAATCCCATGGACGGAGGAGCCTGGTGGGCTGCCGTCTATGGGGTCGCACAGAGTCGGACACGACTGAAGCGACTCAGCAGCAGCATACCCTCTTACTTAGGCGTCTGTGCTGAATTCAGGGGTCCCTTCTAGGAAGCATCTCCAAGTCTTTCAGGTTGGTTGGGTGCCAGGTTTCCCCTCTCTTTCATTTTTCGCACTTACTAGATCCTATAAACACTTATTTACTTGTTGAGATGTCCGCCTTCCTTGTTAGACTCAGAGGACACAATGATTCGCATGCACCTGGCGTGTGAATGGTGGTAGGGAGGGTGAAGGAGGAAGAAAACCCTTTCCACCCTGGGAAGCTGCACGTGCCACAGGCCAATTAGTGTTCTCCCATATTTTGATTGGCTGCAACATTGTCTCTCATTCTTTCACAGAGTCCAATGTTGACTGCAGGAAAAGGCCTATATAGTCTCTGTCCTCAAGGAAGTTAAAATAGCACAGTGCGAGGCTCCACATTTATTATTTTTTTAGAGTTCTGGCAGGGTTTCTTAAAACTAACTGGCTATATATTGAAACTGTTTGTAGAGCTTTTAAGAAAGCACTGGATTTCTAGGGCCCATTCCAGAACAATTAAAATGGAATCGCTATAGATGAGGCTCAAACACAGGCATTTAAAAAATCTCTCTAGGTGATTCTAAAGTGTGGTGATGGGGGGAAATCACTCACCGAAAAGATTAGTGGGAGTTAAACTATTATAGTTAAAATAAGCTAGGGCAGTAGTTTCTGACTGTGTGTCTCACAAAGCAGGCTCAGGACCAGGCCAGGTTGACTCTGGACTCCTCACCCCCAGTCTTAACTTGAACAGCATCTATTTTAAGGCTCTATATCTGTTTGATTTCTATGAATGATTTCTTTGAAAGGGTTTTACTGCTGCTGGGGGGAAATAAAAGCCCCAGAAGCACTAATTTAGAGAGTACCCAAAGACGATGCAATATAAATTAATTTATCACTTCTTTTTCTGTTGTTTTCCTTTGCTTGTCTCTCTTGATTCAGGATGTTGTCTTCTTAAAAGAAAAACTGCCTACGACATCACTCAACTCCTGAAAGCTTGCTGTTGTTTAGGTGCTTCAGTCGTGTCCGACTCTGAGACCCCGTGGACTGTATCCCGCCAGGCTCCTCTGTCCCTGGGATTCTCCAGGCAAGAGTGCTGGAGTGGGTTGCCATTTCCTCCTCCAGGGGATCTTCCCAGCCCGGGGATCCAGCCTGTTTCCTGTTCATCAGCGGCGGATTCTTTATTCCTGTACCACGAGGGAAGCCCCTGAGAGCTTACAGGAGGTTTAAGTAACCCATTCTCAGGCAGTGGATTGAGGGAAAAGAATGAGAAGAACTGAGCTGATTTCAAACCAACAAAATGAAGGGCAAAAGGGACTTCCATGGTGGTCCAGGAGTTAAGACTCTTCACTTCCTTTGCAGGGGGGAGAGGGTTCAACCCCTGGTCAGGAAACTAAGACTCCATGTGCTGCACAGTGCCCCCGCCCCCCAGTCCAACCAACCAAACAAAAGCAAAGAATAAAAACAGTAAGATGGTTCAAGGTAGTTCAAAACTATTTTTATTTATTTCTTCTATCAGCAGTTAAACATCTGATACATATAAAATGTTAGTCGCTCAGTTGTGTCCAAATCTTTGTGACCACATGGACTGTAGCCCACCAGGCTCCTCTGTCCATGGGATTCTCCAGGTGAGAATACTGGAGTGGGTTTCCACTTCCTTCTCCAGGGGATCTGCCCCACCCAGGGATCGAACCCAGCCCTCCTATATTTCAGGCAGATTCTTTCCTGTCTGAGTCACCAGAGTTGCAGACAACGGGGTCACGAAGAATCAGACATAACTGGACGACTGAACAGCAACTATATAAAATATGGCTTTAAATATAGACTCTTATGTATAATATTACATAACTGACATTATATGATGTACATATGAACTATCTAACATGTGTAATATGTCGTATATATGCATAGTCTAACCACAGTTGACTAGAATGAGGTTTGGTCCTACTGTTAGGAGGTAGTTCCAGGGATCATGCTTTTTCCACATTTCTTTCAGATATTTTTTAAAGAATATTTTTGAGATATCCGAAGCAAAAATGGCATAAGTTTTCATCTTCTTGGTGGTCACTAAAAGGTGATTGTTAAGGATTTTCTAGATGCTTAGAATACTACAGTAGGTAACAATAAATAGCAAAAGAAACGACCAAGAAAGATTCATATTGGCATAATATTGACTTCCCTGATGGCTCAGTGGCAAAGAATTTGCCTGCCAATATAGGAGATGCAGGTTTGATCCCTGGGTCGGGCAGATCCCCTGGAGAAGGTCATGGCAACCCACTCCAGTATTCTTGCCTGGAGAATCCCATGGACAGAGGGGCCTGGCAGGCCACAGTCCATGTGGTGCAAAAAGTCGGACATGACTGAGCAACTAAACAACAACAACAAATAACAAAACGAGAAGCAACCGAGAAAGCTTTCATGTTGGCATAATGCTGTTGAAAAATTAAAATCAGGCCAGCCATGTTTATCATCTAATGTGGCAACCGTCAGCTTCCGGCTAAGAGTCTGTAACCTGCAGTTGACCCCCTCCGCTCGTTCTGTCCGTGGGAATCTGTTTCTACAGGACAAGCCAAGGCAAGTGCAGAGAGATTCCTGTATAGGAGAGTAGGATGACTCTAATTCAGGAAAGTCTGAACTCCCCGTCGGGCACTGCAGCACATGCCTGGTAGGAACGAGATGGTGAGATAGTGAACGCTGCATGGTGGATATTTTCTGCTACCATTAGCTTGGTATCCTGCTCCTCCCTACTGTAATGCCTCCAAAGGCAGCCCTTATAACGAACTTCAACAACTGGATAGCCATTGTCTTCTAGAAAAATATGTTAAGGCAGAAACTTAAGTATCCTATTAAATTTGACAGTTCTTGTAAGGTGACCATTTGCCCATCAGGGCTCAAAGATATTCTGTAGCAATGCCTACAGCTTGGGACTTAAGCCACGGCGAGTGTGCGGTCCAATTACTGAAAGTACTAATTACCTTTATAAAATAGTTGGGGTTGCAGGGGAAAAAAACCCGAGGGTGGATATAATTTAGTTTCTTTCCGTCGGCCCATGTAAGCCCAACCTGGGAAAATATAAGCTAGGCAACACGTCTTGGTTGGTCCTAGTATTTCTTTCCTGATCCATAATTGCTAATTCACTTAAGTAAAAACAATATTTGGTCTCACAGGTGCCAACCCAAGTAAGCCGTTGCTTTGCTTGGAGTGGCTGAAAAAATACAATTACATTACATTCGTGAACATTTCTCCTTCTTGAAAGAATGCAGTTAACATTTGGAAAATGACTTGCTGCTGGATAATGTCAGTCTCCTAGATCTAGGAAAAAAAAACTGTGAATAATAAGACATGCATTTCTGAAAGCGCTGAACTGTATCCCATAGAGAGAGACCTGGTCTTGATACAAAAGAATCAGCTTTAATCATAACTTTTGCCTGTTTTAACTGGAACTTCCTGATACCTCCTATTGTAATCACCTGTGGATACATCGTGCTTGTTTGTCCATTCCATCCAAAGAAACATCCACTCTTTTAGGAAACGCATTTCCTCAAACAATTAGTACTCTTAGGTAGAAGGTATTGTGTCTGCTTTTGCAGTGTCCCTAAAAGTCTGCATTTTATAGCTTGCATCAGTTCATTTGATAATTTGGTCTGTGGTAAGATTGAGCAGTAACAGTGCTATGAGTTCCTGGATAATAAAGCCATTTTGGAATCAGTATTCATGGAGAGGGGGCCAGCGTTTTAAAATAAGAATGTCTACACAAGTTTACTGCTCTATTTTTAGACTCGTATATTTACATCTGTGTTAGAACTCTGCATCTCTCATTATGAAATAAATCAGGTATGGATCACGCATATGAAACTCTCTAAATGCAGTTGGTCATTGTTTAGTTGCTTCTGTCGTGTCCGACTCTGTTCAGCCTCGTGGACTGCAGCCCGCCAGGTTCCTGTGTCCATGGGATTCTCCAGGCAAAAATACTGGCGTGGGTTGCCATTCCCTTCTCCAGGGGGTTTTCCTCACTTAGGGATTGAGCCTAGGTCTCCTGCATTGCAGGTGGATGCTTCACCATTTGAGCCACAGGGAAGCCCAGTTAACTGGTTTGAGGAATGGCCACATGAACATGCATGTTTTTTCTAACCATAGCTATGCTCTCTCATTGCTGGCTCATCTACGTCCGGGTCTATCTAATCTAAGCCTATATTTGTATTAATAGTTAAAAATATATGTACTATTTTAAGACAAGAAAAACTAATTTCAACTTTATGAGTAGAAGAAAAAGTGGTGAATTTTTAATTTTTTGTAATTACCTCATTATGTTCAGTCAGACGATGAGAGCCAGCCTTCCACAGCATAATCAAGTTCTGAATCAAATCAGAATAATTTACTGAATTAAATAATGCTGTTTAAGGTACATTTCTTCCTGGGCAAACCTGACACAAATGTTCAAAGTACATGGGCCAGTTCCCTCTCTCTCTCTTTTTTTTTTTTAGCAATGTATACTTAGAGCATTATTTAAGCAAGGCAGTCTGGGGAGGATGCCCAGCAAACAGACACGGGAAGCCTCGTTACTTTTATTCTGCATTGCAGATCCGGCGTATGTCCTCTGTTTGTGATCACGTGTGTGTGTGATTACTGGCTACAGCGTAAAGATTCACATTTCTATTGGACTGAGAGTAAGGCTAGATGAAAACTGACAGATTAATGCATAATCAGACACTGTCTCATGAATGACTTCATCTAGATACTTATTGCCGTGAAGGTAGGGTGGGGAGCCTTCTCTTTATCTTCTCAGAATGGACTGAGAAGCCTGGTGGGCTGCAGTCCATAGGGTAGCAAAAGAGTTGGACACGACTGAGTTGACCGATCACATTTTAAAATGCAACCAAAGGTGATGTGAGTATTCTGTCAATGAAGCGCCCTCTGTTGATTAAGCCTGAACGCTCGACCTGGGACATTATGTGTTCTGGTTTTGGTGTCCTGGGTTCATCATGATACGCGGATTGTTCTGTGCACTAGGGTTGCTGCAACTCTGTAATCCCTCCCCAAGAAAGAACAGCAGCTGAACCTCATCATGACCCCGTGTTTTGTGTGCCGATCGATTCTTGCATTAGTGGCATGACATTTATTTGCTTGGTGAGCTTTTACCTGCAAGGTCAACAAGGTCAGTGCATGTCAAAAGCAGTTATTTTCATTTGAGATTTATTTCCCTATGGATAGCCTTAAGATATTCAAGTTACTAATGAGGCCATTGAAGTTAGGGCCTAAGTGTATTATTAGGAGAAACATAACTACCTGGAGAATAGCCATGATACATAATTCAGCCACATCAAACCCCTTTTAGGAAGGCAGGAAGTGTAAGTGTATGGGTGTGTGTGTGTGTGTGTGTGTGTGTGTGTGTGTGTGTGAATGAGAGAGAGAGAGAGAAATGGGACTCCTCTGTGTATTCATGAACACAAAACCAAAGGTATATACTTTTTTTTTTTTTTGATGTTTTGGTCTTTCTCTAAGACAGAGAGTTCTGTTGGTTTTTACCCTATTCTAGCACTAACTGTAATCTGTCTAAAATTATAAGATAATTTTACTCTTATCCACCCGGTTTGATCTAAATAGACCTGTCTACGTCACTGGACTGTACAACATTCGGAGTTGGAAGTGTCACTTGGGAATATCTGTATCCCTTATTTCATCCCTTCACAACCTCCTTCTCTGTCTTTCACAGTTTTGACTCATATCTTGTAAACATTCCAACTTGAAACACTATGAGTGGTGCTTCTCTAACTTCCCGTGTACATGGAGGTCTTGGTTCTGTGGAGAGCTGGACTCAGGAGGTCTGGGGTGTGGTCCTTTCTCATAAACGAGCTGGTCACACTGATGCTGCTTAGCTGTGGGTCATGGTTTCAGGAGCAAAGGTCTGGAATGTTTCCCAGTCTGGGTTCCTGATTAGCTCAGATCCATTTCTACCAAGACAATGAAATCATTCATGAAAAAAAAAGTGTAATTGTTTGGGATAAGTTTGGATTTATTAAGTTTGGATGTTAATATGACTTAAAAATAATTATACCAGGATTCACATATGATTGTCAGGGTCATCCCCTTCCAAACAACGACCTACTATTTTTCTAGCCTGTAAACTCTGATTTTAGAATTGTCCACAGAAACTCAAAGATGAGGATACACTTGCTCATTCACTCATGTTACGATTCAACAATAATGAAGAAGGGCCTAAAATATCCTAAGCACTGTACTGATGACTGTGGGAAGGTTGACATCCTTAAGTGCTCAGGGAGGTCTGAGAGGAGACAAGTTAAGAGCAAACAATTGTTTGAACACAATAAATAAAAATGTGCCCCCTTTGAGTGTATGTTTTCTTAAATGAGAGCCACCTAGGCTTAAATTTGGAATCGAGTCTGAAAATGCAGTTTCTGATCGAAAATGTATGTCTATCAAGTAAGGAAGCTTATTTTTCTTGAATATCTTATAACTGAATCAGCATGAACTAGAGCTATGTTAAGAATGGCATTTACGGAATATGTTCATAGTGCCCCAAAATATCTTCTTTAAAGAAATCTATCCATGAGTGGCAGTATAATTATGATTGAATTACCTCCATTACTTCTTACTTAGATGTATTTACCACAACCTATGGATTTGGATGTATCCATGTCTGCATACACACATGTAATGTCTTATACCAAATTTAGTAATACTTAATTGTTCATTGAGTATAGTGCTGGTTTATACAAATAAAAGACTAACTTTCAGGAATTCCTAACCCACACCTCATGTATAGCTTAAAGGTGAGTAACCATATAATTTACTCTCTAAATCGAGAAACTGAGCATAGAAAGCAGCACTGTTAATAGTTACCCTGGGATAAGAGGCATGCTGCTGCTGCTGCTGCTGCGGCTAAGTCGCTTCAATCGTGTCCAACTCTGGGTGACCCCATAGACGGCAACACACCAGGCTCCCCCATCCCTGGGATTCTCCAGGCAAGAACCCTGGAGTGGGTTGCCATTTCCTTCTCCAATGCATGAAAATGAAAAGTGAAAGTGAAGTTGCTCAGTCGTGTCCGACTCTTAGTGACCCCATGGACTGCAGCCTACCAGGCTCCTCCATCCATGGGATTTTCCAGGCAAGAGTACTGGAATGGGGTGCTGTTGCCTCCTCCAATAAGAGGCATAAGTGGGGACTATTCTAGGGAAACCAGGACAAAAATCATCTAACAGGAAGGCAGAAAAAAAAAAAAAACTAAATAAAAACATTCTCTGGTTTTTTAGTTCTTCAGAATTAAGTTCTTAAAACATTGCATTTTTTTTTTCTAAGTATATCTGATTAAGTTCGGTCTGTATTTCAGGAAAATGATGCTGTTGGGGAAGTTCCTAATGTTTATTGGTCCTAAAGAATGAATTTTGTTCCAAACTAGGGGTACTGGGGCTTTCTAGGCAAAACTGGTATTTTGGAAACAGTAAAAAGGCGTGATAGGGTTCTGCATTTAGCAATTTATGCTTTTAATTGAGTAGTCTTCCTTTGGAATATGAGCACTGGCCACTATAGGACTTAAAAGAAATACTTTATTTAGGATAAAATCTATAGCTTTCAAAAGTCAAAAGTTAGAAAATGCTTCTTAATGATATATAGATAGATAGATGTGTATATATATACATATATATATATATATTTGATGGTTTAAGTAATCTATCTGGAAGACTCATTTGATCAGTGGTTATATTATCTATATTTATGTGTGAATACTTTTATGAATGCAGGGCATTATTTCATAATTTACAGCTGTGTTTGGCCAGGCACTCTTGAAA